TTCTACATACAGCTGGACAAATTGATATTGAATATACTCCTCCTTATCTTTGGGGTCTAAAATATTGACATAAAAAAATGAGGAAATTCATTTTTTTTTTGGATCCCCCCAATATTTCTCAAGCTTGGTTTTCATTTGTATCCCCATTGTCTGTTAAAAACAGTAAACATATAAACAACTAAAACAATGCACAAGTTAAAACATAATCAGAAAACAAATCAAATAACTAAGACACTAACTGGTAAACTGTTTACCTTTTCACAACCAGTCTCAACTTGAACCAAATCTTCCAGCATGCAACTCATATCAGAGATCTTAGAGAAGAAGGTGTTAGATGTGACATAAAGAGAATCAGAAATTCTCACTGTCATCTCATAAAAAAAAAGTTGGCACAAGTGTCAAATAGACCCATCTACTACTGCAAATTGCTCAATTCCTACCGCGAACTAAATTAAGTGTCAAATAGGCCCCGTCTACCAGCTAAATGTGTTCAATTGGTATTTTTGCAGGTTGCTAGCAGGTTACCTATTTAATTATTAAAAATAAATAAATAAATAGAATAAAAAATTTAAAAAAATTAAATTTTTTTTTAAAAGAAGAATATCAGCCACCGGCTGTCCGGCGAGGACAGCCGGTGGCTGCCCTTTCGCAGACAGCCGTGGCTGTCCGGCGAGAAAAGCCGAACAGCCACGATTGTCAACAATGAGGTCCAGATCTGGACCTCAAACGGCCTGGAACGGCCCCAGACAGTCATGGCCGTCTAAAAAAAATTTCGAATTTTTTTTTTTAAACGGCCATGGCCGTTTGGAACGAGGCGGAGGCTCGTTCCAGGCTGTTTGAGGTCCAGATCTGGACCTCAATGTTGACAGCCATGGCTGTCCAGCTGTCTGCGAAAGAGCAGCCGCCGACTGTCCTCGCCGGATAGCCGGTGGATGATATTCTTTTTTTTTTTTTTTAATTTTTTTTAATTCTATTTATTTATTTATTTTTAATAATTAGATAGGCAACCTGTAAAAAATGCCAATCGAACAAATTTAGCTGGTAGATGAGCCTATTTGACACTTAATTTAGTTCGTGGTGGAAATTGAGCAATTCGCAGTAGTAGATGGGTCTATTTGACACTTATGCTAAAAAAGTTTTCAAAAGCTTGACTAAGCTTTGCACAGAACACCAATCCAAAAAAACAAGGAGCATATTCATCTAAGTCAACAGAAAAAGATGGATCATTTTTCTCATATGCTTCAAACACCCTTTGGTATTGAATTGCAGTATTATGCATAATGTAAGTGTTGTTCCATCTTGTTGGGACATCAAGCTGTAAAGCTAATTTAGCTTCCACCCCAATGAGATCAGCAGGATCTCTAAACTTTTTCAATCTAGCAGGTGAGTTCCTAACCCATCTCACTGCATCCCAAACCTTTTTTCATAAAACTATCAGCAAACCGCAAACCATCTTGCACCACTAAGTTGAGGATATGGGCTATGCACCTCATGTGCATGTACTGAACCCTAACAGAAGATGTATCCCAAGATAACAACTTGCTTTAAAAAAAAAAAAAAACTCAAAGTTGTATCATTAGAAGAAACATTGTCCACTATGATAGTGAACACATTTTTAATTCCTCACTCAAGTAGACAACTCTCTAGGGCTTTTGCAATATACTCTCCCTATGAGAAGAAACAGGGACAAAGGAAATAATTTTTTTTCTGAAACTTCCACTGATCATCAATAAAATGTGCAGTAATGCACATATAATTAATCCTTTGGACAAAAGTCTATGTATCAGTGGTTAAACTGACCCTTTGAGTACCCACCCTAAACAACTTCTTAAGATTCAGCCTCTCGTCTAGGTATATTTGGTAAATGTCCCTAGAAATTGTCCAACTAGAATGGATTTGAAACCTAGGACAAGTAACAAGAATAAATCTCTTGAACCCCTAGCCCTCAACAAAACCTAAATGGGAGCTCATTTGTAATTATCATCTCACTCAAAGTCCTCCTAATGGCCTCTTGATTAAAGACGCATGTCCCCAAAACCCCCCAGAACCCTCTGTTCTAGAGGTTGGAAGAATATTGAATGTGAGTATGGATTGCCTTGTATCCTTAGAATGAAGATTTTTAAGGCAACCCAATATATGATTTCTCAAAGATGAAGTGCCATATTTTTTCGACTCACATGCAAACACTTTTGCACGTACAATATATACACTTCCCTTTCATTACTTTCCCTTCAAAATCTAGGATTTTTTTTCAAAGTGATCCCAGACTTTAGATCTAGACTCAATCTCCTTCATCTTCTTAGCAGGATGAACAAAAAGGAGTGACCTTAGGCTGTTGAGTATTTGTCTCAATGCCTGGGGTTTGTACTCCTTGTTCCTGTAGAGGATGGAAGATATCCAGTTCCATTGATGCTTTGATTGCTTTCCATCTATAAGGATGGGCATCAGTCATACTATCAGTCTCTTACAGATTTACAGAATACATACTACATATATTACAATATAACAGCATAAGGCTTCCACCACATGTAAAACATTAAACATACACCAACATTCATGCATTATTACATTTACAAATTTACTTCCATAATCAGATTTTCATAATCATGTATATGGAATTTCCCAAAATTTTGGACTCATGCAATAATCAGTCATACTCAATTACTCGTACATAATATTTCCATAATCAAGAATTCATATATTTTTCAGAATTCATCATTTTAATGGAAATGCTAAAAAATTAGGGCTCAACATATTACATACACAGTAGGGCTTCCACCACATTATTCAATACCAAAATTCATCATTCATATGAAAATGTCCAAAAATTAGGGGTCAACATTCAACAATTAACATACATAAACACGCAGTCAGTAGGCTTCCACCATACAGTTACAACTTACAATCATATACAAAATTTAAGGGTTCTCTAACTATAAACTTACAAGTTACAATCATATATCATAATTTATAAAAATTCATCATGCATATGGAAAACTCAAAAAATTATGGCTCACTTACAAATTAAGGTTCATGCAACATCATAGACATTTCACAAATATTGATAATAGAATCAATACATTGGGAACCCTAGTAGAACACTAGAACGTATACAACAGTAACAGACTAACAACACGAACATATAAAAAAAGATTCAGATTTACTTGAGGATTTTATGATTAACATGTTCACTTGAGGTTATATTTAAGGTTATGTTGCTTAATTACTTAAATGCCATCAATACAAATAAGTAAATGGATAAATGAAAATTATATATATGCATGATCATATATTATTTTATATATCACTACTGGAAATTATGAAATTTCTGACCAGGCCACCTGAAAGTAATCTCAAATCAAGTTGAAAGCAAAAAGTGGTAGAAAATAGCAACGAAGGTTTTTCCGGATACCAAAAGTGGTCGGAACAAGACTTTCGACTTGATTTAAGATCACTTTCAAGTGGTCGAAAATTCCATAATTTCCAACCGTGTATGTATGAATAGTATATTAATGTTGTTGTTATTAGTATTATTAATGGTTTGATAAATGTAAGATTGAAATATTTAAAAGTAGTGTAAGAATACTTTTGAAGATAGAGGTAATCTACTTCCATCATAATGTCAAAATCCTACATGGTGATATAAGATTACTGAGATAATTAAATAATTTGAATTGAACAAGGTTATGTAACATCAAAATACTCAAATTACAATGCACCCAAAAGTAATAATTTTCTTGTTCTATTAACGACTTTAGAAAATTAAAATTTAGAGAATTTTAGAATATAATCCTACTAAGACTAATTTGTATTGAAAATTGTTTAATTTGTTATCGTAATATCATTTCTTTTAGTCCTTAACTATAATTAAGCCCCTTTTGGTAAATAAAAATAATTTTCAGTTTCCCGTCCAGTAGAAAGTACGTAATTTTGATGAATTTGTACAACATTAAATTATACCTGTAAATTGGAATTGTTTTCAAATTTACTGTAGAATAGCAGTCATGAATGCATTTATTTTGTTCATATTAACTATAACAAACAAAGTATGTTTGCAAGTTTCAATAACTACATGTATTATATTATAAATTACTTTTACAATCTCAAAAACTAACACTAATTGAATGGAAATGAATTTGAAACTCAAAATTATTATTTACATGAACATCTACATCTATTTCAACACTATAAATAAGTCATCATATCATATCCAATACTACGAAATTTGTTCCTGCTACAAACATATACACAAGCACATCTTTTATTTCAAGTTTGGATTGAATTCCCTTTTTTAATAATAATAATAATAATAATAATAATAATAATAATAATAATAATAATAATAATAATAATAATAAAAAGGTAATGTTGTAATTTCATTTTTTTTTAATCTTTCCATTCACCACCAAATTACTCCATAGAATTCATAGGGGAGTCCTATGAATTTCAATTCGACAAATAGAAAGAATCGTAATATCTTCCAACTGAACAATGTAATTGTGCTCCACAAAGAATTAGGTTATAGTTGAATTACAACTATGGCAAATTATTGTGTAGATGTGTGACCATGGTCCAAAACTACGTCGTTTTGATATTAACAAAAAAATTCCGTTCTCCGCGCGTTTATGTATTAGAATAATGAACCTTCTGTGATAAGATAATGTATTTTATGAGTTAGAATAATGTACTTATGTGCAAGAATGAAATTTCTAGGGTAATATATAAATTAAAATAATGTACTTTATATGTTAGAATGATGTATTTTACGAATTAAAATAATATACTTTATATGTGTTTTTTGGAATATGATTCACGCAATAATGTACCAGTACAACTACAACGGTACAACCTACCAAACAAGTCCGCATAAAGAAGAATGAAAGTTTAGGGATCTATTCGTAATTTAATGAAGTGTAATGATTCAGGTGTTAACTTAAAAAAAAAAAAAAAAAATATGGGCTTTCAAACAAATTTATACGTTAAACAGCAGCGCCATGCCCGCCCTGTGTCCTACTGTCCTGTTTCTTGGTTTGAATTTCAAAAAAATGCATAAACCCAACTGTACATTGGGCAATGCAGTTTTTCTACACACCCAATACTCCAATAGCTAATAGCTTCAACACCCCCCCCCCCCCCCCCCCGCTAATATCACCCCCTAACCTGAGAAAACCTTCTTCCTCTGTGAAGCTGTTTTCTTGCCTTTTCTGTTTGTTATCACTTTTTCTAAATTTTCAAAGTCTCTTTTTTTTTTCTCCCTTTTCTTGGATTTGATTTGACCCGTTCTATCATAGCTGAATGTAAAGCTCTCTCTCTCTCTGCTCTGTTGCATTAATTTCCATTTCCAATTTCCAGTCTGTTGTCTCTCAGATGCATTTATGCTCCATTTCCGTTTTCTCTAGTTCTTTTGCATCCTGAAATCTCTCTGCAAGTTTCAGTCTTTAATTCTCTTCTTGGTAGTTGAAAACTTGAAATCTCTTCTGCCCTCTCTGCAGATAGAGTAGAATCTTGTGTGAATGGGTGCTTCTGGAAAATGGGTCAAAGCTCTCATAGGATTCAAGAAGCCTGAAAAAGATGACCACCATGTAAGCTCAAATCTCTGTTAAACATCTTATTTTGTTTAGTTAAAATCCAATATTTTTCGTGTTTGTTTAAGTTTTAGCCAAGAAATCTGAGTTTTTGTGGTGTTTGTAGGAGAGGGTGAGCGGGAAGAGCAAGAAATGGAGGCTATGGAGGGGGTCATCAGGGGATCTTGGTGGGGGTTCTTCATGGAAGGGATTGAGAGGGAAGCGCCATATGTATGGTGGGTCTGAAGGCTCTGATTCTTCATCAGTCAACAATGATGCTTTCACAGCTGCAATGGCTACAGTGGTGAGAGCTGCTCCCAAAGATTTCAAGGCTGTGAGGCAAGAATGGGCTGCTATTAGGATTCAAACTGCATTTCGTGGCTTCTTGGTAATTTCTTGTGCTCTTCTCTTGCTTCTCATTGTCTCTAAAAAATGCCTACATACCAAAGATATGAATATGTTTTCGTGTCACCTAACAATCCCCTAGTCACGTGGTGCTGGACTTGGCATTTCTGGTCCCTCTCCCAACACTAGCGGTTTTAACTGCTCTTGTTGGGATTCAAAACCCGTAACTTGTCGTTATAAACCACCAGTCACGTTTTCGAGAGCTAGGATGCTGGATTTGGCCTTTATGAGCCTCTGCCCAACAATCCTCCTAGTCACATGGTGCTGGACTTGGTCCTTGCTGGTCTCCCTTTTAGCACCAGCCAGTCTTAACTACTCTTACCGGGACTCGAACCTGTAGCACAAAGGCACAATTTTATTTCCTTATAGATTGCCATAAGAGCTTAGACGTTGGACTTGACCCTTTACCAGCCTCTGTCCAACAATCCCCTAACCACCAGGTTGGTAGGCCGGGGAGTTCTCCAGAACCTAGATTTGAAAGTGTTTTAAAGAAAGGAACTTGTCCTTTTGATTGAGCTGACCTGTTGAATGCAATTTGTGAACTTTGTAAATCCAGAGAATAATAAATGAAATTTTCATTCTCATATCAACAAAATGATTATGCATATGGGATATGGCATTGCTTTGGATGATAACTTTGGGATAATTGTATAGGCTTTTGTTCACAAGGAATGTTACTTTAGTTTATCAAAATACAAATTTTATAGCTGTGATGAATGAAATCGTAGGCGAGGAGAGCTTTAAGGGCGTTGAAAGGCTTGGTGAGGCTTCAAGCTCTGGTACGTGGTAGACAGGTGAGAAAGCAAGCCGCGGTTACTCTTAGGTGCATGCAGGCCTTGGTTCGGGTCCAAGCCCGAGTTAGAGCTCGTCGTGTTCGTATGTCTCTCGAGGGGCAGGCTGTGCAGAAGATGCTCGAAGAGCACCGGGGCATGGTCGATTGCTTGAAAGAAGCTGAGGTAAGCAACTCGGGTTTTCGTGTGACTAATGAATATCAAAGTGCAAGTAGTTTCAAGTTGTTTTGGGGATTATTGTAGGAAGGGTGGTGTAATAGTAAAGGAACACTTGAAGAGGTTAAAGCTAAGATACATATGAGGCAAGAGGGCGCTTTCAAGAGAGAGCGAGCACTTGTCTACTCTCTCGTTCATAAGGTAATTAACGCAACTTTCTTTCCTTATACTGTCACACATTTTCGAGACGTTGGGTTCTGGATTTGGCCCTTTACTGGCTTCCGTCTAACAGATTGATCGTTTATTCAATTATTCGTCTTCTTGAATTAATAATTGTTGCAGGAGAGATCAAGCTCTGATGCTCAGACAACCATATCTGTTCCCTCTTTCAAGAGCTGCAACTTGGACAAGAACAGCTGGGGATGGAGCTGGCTAGAGCGATGGATGGCTGCGAGGCCTTGGGAGAACCGATTGATGGAGCAGAGGCAAACCGAAGCAACAGAAACGACCCCGAAGTCCAAGGTTTGCTTAGATTACACCAAGGACAACCGTTCCAAGTCTTCTGAGCAGTGCTCGGTGAAAGTCAGAAAGAACAATGTGACCAAAAGGGTGTCAGCAAAACCTCCCTTGGTTGGACAAGCCACTCGTTCCTCCTCGAGCCCGAGTTCTGAGTTTCGATACGACGAGAGTTCTGCTTCGTCCTCGCTCTGCACATCCACGACTCCAGTTTCAGGACACTCGGTGTCAGCATCAGATAAAACAGTCGAGAAATGCAACAATTGTAGGCCAAACTATATGAACTTGACCCAATCGACGAAGGCCAAGCAGCGAAATAGCAGGTTTCTAAGACAGTCCATGGACGAGTTTCAGTTTCTTAACCTTCAGAAGTCGGGGGCATTTAGCAACGGGGACTCCAAAAGCACTGCAGCTTCTGATCTTTCGTCGGTGAACTTGACAAGGCCCCTTTGCCTACCTACCCGAATGGATAAATTCTCGAAGTGAAGGGATAAGGAGAAACAATTCTTTGTTGTTGTCTCTCAAATGCTTTTGAGACCCTGGATGCAAATCTTTTGAGACATTGGAAATGTGCACTAGGATTTTTCATCTTGTAAAATTGTGTAAGTTATGAGTTTCAAGTGGATCATCACTATGGTCCACTTTTATGTATTTCCTTTTGAGTTTTACAATGTCTTGTGTCTCTCTGAATATGCCCCACTTTTGCTGCATTACATGGGTGAAAATATACAAGGGAAAAAGGTACAAAAAGGGGAGGAGAGGAGGGGATTTAAACCTTAAACTTTTAAAGTATCATCTTGAAATAATGAGATTTATGGGTCATCTCGAAATCAACTTAGAATGTAAATCTCGAGTTTTCAAGAACGTCGGATGGCTTGAACCTTGACGCCATGCTTGAAGTTGAGAACGATGCCATACTCGATCCCGAGAGGGGTCTCCATGAGGGAGGAGTGTCTAAATGTGTACTTCCTGTATAAATGGATTAGTGAGAGTTTAATTTCCTGCAGGGAGAACTTCTGTCCTATACATCCTCTAGGCCCTATTCCAAAAGGGATGTTTGCATAAGGGTGCCTCCTTTTTTCTTCTTCACAATTTGGATCAAACCTCTCAGGCTTGAACTTTTCTGGTTCAGGGAAGTTATTAGGATCTTTAGCTAGAACTCCAAGGGCTAGCCAAACCCATGTTCCCTGCTTGTTCATAAACCAAACAGCCTATTAGGAACCCTTTGAAAATAAAGAGTGTTGGGGTGTGGGGAGAGCTATACCTTTGGGAGGCTGTAACCTCCAATCTCCACTGGTGCTGATGCTTCTCTAGCAACTAGTGGAGAAACTGTGTAGAATCTCATTGCCTCTTTGATCACCTGCAGTCCAAAGAGTAATTAAAAAACATAAACCACTTGTTTGGTTTCTGTCTTGCTTATTGTTAGATCATGTGCTTATCACTATGCCAAAAGTTATAGCTAGTAACGAATGCGTAACTTTATTTCCATATACCGTCACGCATTTTTTAGAGACAAGGTGCTGAATTTGGCCATTTATCGATCTCTGCCCAACAATTTCCCTAGCTACCAATTATTGAACTTGGCCCGTTACAAGGCCTCCGCCTAACAATCACCAATTGTTGGACTTGGTCAATTACCGGCCTCCGCCCAACAATTCCCCCTCCCAGCAATTGCTAGTCTTGATACCACTTGTTAGATCAAGCACTTACAAGCTATAGCTAGTAGCGACGGCATAACTTTATTTCTATATACCGTCACACATTTTCGAAAGGCAAGGTGCTACATTTGACCATGCACTGGCCTCTGCCCCAACAATTCCCCTAACTACCAATTGCTGGACTTGGTCCGTTACCGGGCTTCCACCCAACAATCACCAATTGCTGGACTTGGTCCATTGCCGGCCTCCGCCCAACAATCACCAATTGCTGGACTTGGCCAGTTACCGGCCTCCGCCCAACACTTATAGTAGCTGCAGATAATCAAGAATCTTGCCTGATCAATGTAGGGAAATTTTGTTTGAAGATCATGGGCACTGGGAACCTGATCACCAGGGCCAAAACCATCTATCTCTTCAACCAACTTCTTTTCAACTTGGGGATTGCCAGCAACCAGATACACAATTGAAGACAATGTGAATGATGTGGTTGCTGATCCAGCCAGCAAGTGTTCATAAGTCACTGCACTGATATAATCCGAGGTAAACACATTCTTTGCCACTTTCTCAGACTCCACTGCACTCAGAATAAGGGACAAGAAGTCCTTCGAGCCCCGCTGCTTTTCTTCCATTCTGTTCGCCACAATATCGTCAAGGCGCCCGCTCAGATTCTTGTTTGTTCTCTCCACTTTCCAGTCCATCGTGCCGGGTATCCTCTTAAGTACTTGGCGAAATGGTTCCTGGAGAATTGGAACAAGTAAGCCTAATATGATGGAGAAGGAGCCTGACAAGTCCATCTTCAGCTGTGTTGTGGAGTAGATGTGTTGATTGATGAATTCTTGGACTCCATTGTTAAGTGAGTCTTTGCCCACTTTGGGTTTAGAGAGCCCAAAGTCTACTCCAAAAGCAGCCTGTCCAATAACATCTGTGGCTAGTTTGAGGGAAAGATCAGAGAAGGTGAAGTCCCCTTCAGAATCAAGTTTCTGAGTTGCAGATTCGATAAAGGACTGCATAGTTGGGACCTGCTTGGCCAGGTGAGATGGCTGGTAGAGTGACAGTATTGTGTTCCTCATTGTTGACCATCTTGTATCCCTGCAAATTCCCTTAATTTTACCTTCTTCTAAACAAGCATAGAAAGTATGCAATAAAATAAATGTTGGGCGGAGGTCGGTAAAGGCCAAATATAACGCTTGGTGACTGGGGGATTATTGGACGGAGCCTGGTAAATAGCTTAAAAGGTCAAGTACAACACCGAAAATATTGAAAATGCGATAGCAGTCTATAAGGAAATAAGTTACACCTTGGCTAATAGCTACAGCTTTTGACATAAGTAGTAAGCGTTTGACCCAATGTGATGACAGTTTATAAGAAAATAGTATCGAAAATGTGATGGCGGTCTATAAGGGAATAAGTTGCGCATTGACTAATAGCTATAGCTTTTGGTATAAGTGGTAAGCGTTTGATCCAATGTGATGCGGTTTATAAGGAAATAAAGTTGCCCCTGGGCTAATAGCTACAACTCTTGGCGTAAGTGATAAGCGTTTGATTCTAACAAGTCGGGTCTCGATGGTCAAAAATGCGTCTCGAAAATGCTGGGAGGGGGAATTGTGTGGCGGAGGACCGGTAAAGGCCAAGACTAGAGATTAAAAGGCCAAGTCCAGTCTAGTACCTAACATCTCAAAAATGCTAAGAGGGGGAAATTGTTGGACGGAGGGCCCGTATAGGCCAAGACTAGAGCTTAAAAGGTCAACTGTACTCTAGCACCTAATGTCTCAAAAATATGATGACGGTCTATAACAACGCTACTAAAAATAAAAATGAAACCTTGTGAAGAAGAGGCCTTTCTGATGCAGAGGGGAGGCAGAGATGGGAGATGGAATGCTTCTGTTAGGGAAGTCTTTGAATTTCTTGATCCCAACTTCTCTACAAAGCTCTGCATCTGCTATGATCACCAATGGCTGCCGCCCCATATGAAACCTTACCCAAACAAAGAAACACTTTTTCACACACTATTTTTCTGGAGATATATATAAAAAAGATAATGATTAAGGTCGGTTTGATTACCTGAAGACAGGGCCATATCGTTTGGCCATGACTGAGAAAACATCAGGGCCATATTTAGCAAGCAAAGGAAGGTGCCCTACAAGGGGGAGTGCTGGAGGGCCAGGGACTTTTCTCACAACCCAATATGGCCTGTAGAAATACACTAAAACTCCACCCAAGATACCCAAAATGGTATAAATGCTTGAGATCTTCACTTCTTCACCTAAAAACTCCATCTTCTTCTTCTTCTTTTTTCCTCTTTGGGATGTTCACTAGGCTCTGGGCTTGGGGTATTATATATATAGTTTTTTCATGTAATGTCTGTTGGTGGTGTTGAGCATCCATATTCCATAGTGGTAGGGCCTTGTTGTTAAGTGATTTTGTCACTTTAACTATTGGCGAGTCAGATTATGTAATGCTAAATTTCCATAAAGTGAAATTAGAAAATGAGAATGAAAGATGGAACAGAAGAAATGGAAATAAATATCTTTTTTTTTTTTTTTTTTTTTTGGTGTACCCAAAGTTTCCACCGTCGGACACAATGATAATCCCCAATTGACACATCTTTTGAGTGGGACAACTGGTCAGGAGAGAAATAAATATTTATCCGATAACAATAATATTGATAGGAAATTCAAAATATATAAATACAAATAAAAGTTAATTCTATTTTTGGTCTTAGATTTATAAATATTTTTAGTCTTTTTTTTTTGTTTTGTTTTGTTTTCAAAATATCTTTGTTGGTCCTGGTATTATTGTGACATGACTATTTTTGTTCTTCGTCAAGAAACCTATTTAAATGACATTAATATTTGGACATTTCAGTCTATTCAATTCTAAATGTTAGTTTTTTTTTAGGTCTAGATTTATGTGTCATTCTATTGCTGCGGAGATTTAGGTTGTGGAGGCTCCGCTGACGGCTGCGAATGCGCGTATTGCAATCAATGAAGATAGGGGACTCTATGTTGTGAATTAATTATTTTTTAAAAATAAAAATAAATAAAAATATAATGGGTAAACTCATTTTATATAAAAACATTAAAATGATCTCGTATTTAATTAATGTCATTTAAACAAGTTTGTTGGCGGAGAATAAAAATGATCATGTCATAATAATACTAAGATTAATAGGAAATATTTTGAAAAAAAAAAAAACTAAAAAATAATATCACACTTATAAATCTAGACTAGCATAAAAATGAAATTAACCCATACAAATAATCTGATACCATTGGGGTTGGGTTTGTTTGTACGTGAGACAGGATAAAAGGAATACGAGGAGAATGACAAATGCCTGAGATTCCTTTGCGAGTTGAAGACTTGGGTGGGGAATATACTCCCAACTCACTCATTACTCCTTTGAATTTTTTATTTTCTTTTCTTTATTCAATTAATTTAATTTAATTGGTATCTGACGATTGAGAATTTGGTTCTTTTCATTTTTGTCCTTTGGTTGTTAGTCGTGTTTTGAGCTGGCCTTGATTTTATCTTCCAAACTTGTTTAAGAGTCAAATCAAGTTAATTGTAACTATGAAATTAATTAATTTTTACCCACCAATAATTATTTGTCACATATTTTAATAATTTGTGTTGATTCAATCCTAATAAAAAACACGACATTATACTGGGCTTATTATGAACTACGGAGTACTATTTACTTTTACATTGCTGTTACAAAGTACTATATATATCATTTTTATAATTCAAACTTAAACATGTTTTATAAGAAAAATTAACAAGTTTTATGGCAAAATTTTGGAAGGAAAAATGTTTGAGCGGAGACGATGATGATGGATCTTAGCGCTGTATTATGCTTACTTCTCAAGACATCACTCATCCTGCCAGGGTGTCATGCGCTGCATTATGCTTACTTTTTCAGGGCGTCACCCATCTGTAACTGCGGTAAGTCTGGTTGTCATATCCTACTTAAAACCAATTGGTGATAAGTAGGTAGACATTAACCATTTAACTACCTCTTTTCATGGTAAGCCACAACGCCACGTCTCGAATCGAGAAGGGGCTAGACTTAGCCAA